AACTTCTCTTACACATCTGAGGATTCTCTAATATTGACATCTTTAACCGTGGAATTTCCTCTCCAAGTGTATATGGCCATAGTTTTGAAAAATATTTGGAGATTTTGGCTGCAATTGTAAGATTCTTGCTCTGAGACATCTGCAAGACACTCACTTTTCTGACAGTGGCTGCTCAGCACTTCCTTGGAATTTCTAAAAAAAAATGTAGTCATTCCAATCTATTTTTGCTGTCCCTCTGACAGCTGTCTTCCCAGTGAGCAGAGCTGTCACTGAGAGCTATCGCTTGAGACAAGACTGGGAAAAAAAAAGAGAGATCAACCAGGAACTACTGGATAGTTTGGAGGGAGGAATTGGCATGAACTCTCTGCTCTGCTTTTCATGGCTGGTTAATGTTGTCAGTTGGCATCCACCATGACTCCTGACAAAATGAACAATGACAGAGTAAAAGTCCTAACAGAGGCCCTGAGGATTCGATCTCTGCAGTCTAACAATGCTTGGTAGAAACATCTTCTATCATCAGCTACATTTAGATGGTCATAAAATATCATAATTACCATTCATTTACAGAATCAACCATAAAAATACAAGGTTGGAAAAACACACCAACAAACACGTATTAACAAAATGATTATTCCTTTGGTGACTGACGTTTTTTATAAATAAAACATATTTCAGTGAAATGCCTGTGAGTGGCTTTCTTTACTGGTGGCCGAGCAAGTAAAGGAGTCATTGCTATGAAAACTCCTGTGTTCTCACTAATGAAAGCCAAAATTAATGCTATAATGAATTATAATTGCTCAGCAATTGAATTATTAATGCTCATCAATCCAGCCTCTAATCATTTCTGTTGATGAGTACTGTACGTTTCCTTATCTCTTTTTCTCTATCTACAACATTTTAAACTTGACTGTACAAAAATAATATTAACTTCCTGTCATTCCTGCATTATATGGTTGTTAGGGTACATTAATTCCTTCAGGGTTTTTTAATTTTCTTTAAAACTCCTTGAAGAGCTCATTCTCTTGGACCATCTAAGGCTAACTATTCATTCCTGATATCCTTTTGAACCTCCATGAGCATTTCAAACTAAGGTACTTTTTGCTGCTTGCTGCAGACACTAAACATTTGATTGTACTTTTAGGTGAATTAGTAATCCAACTAGAAAACATAGAACTGTTGCCGCCAAATTACTCATGAAACTCACATTTTATTATTGGCCTCAGAACAGGACATCTGACATCTCACACTTTAGATACTACTAGGGTGAAAGCTCTAAAAGCTCTGCTGATGTAATGATCACAGAATCACAGAATGGGTCAGGTTGGAAGGGGCCACAGTGGGTCATCTGGTCCAACCTCCCTGTTCAAGCTGGGTCATCCCAGAGCACATGGCACAGGGGTGTGTCCAGACGGTTCTTGAATATGTCCAGTGAGGGAGACTCCACAACCTCTCTGGGCAATTTGTTCCAGTGCATGGTCACTCATAATTCAGGTGGAACCTCCTGTGCATCTGTTTCTGCCCGCTGCCTCTTGTCCTATTGCTGGGCACCACTGAGCAGAGCCTGGTCCATCCTCCTGACACCCTCCCTTCAGATACTGACAGGCAAGGATGAGGTCCCCTCAGTTGTCTCTTCTCGAGGCTGAACAGTCCCAGCTCCCTCAGCCTTTCCTGTTAAGAGAGATGCTCCAGTCCCCTAATTATCTCTGCTGTCCTCTGTTGGACCCGCTCCAAAATTATGACAATCACTTTTTAAAGAAATATAAAGGCAGGTCACTTGAGCCATGGAATTTTGTGTATATTGGGATCAACACATGTATGAACTGGTGCTCCAGGAGATTTAGGAGATGTTCAAGCCAAACTGGGCAGTCCGCTTACCTAGACTTGGGATGAAGGGGAGTAAAATAAGACAGTTTGGCTGCAAATTAGTCATGCAGCAATATTATATATATGCAATTCAACATTTTCTTAATCTTACTGGGTAGTGTGATTGTCACCTTCGTGTGGTCAAATGATCAAGTCTGTCTTTCATTGACAATAAATGAAAAATTGGTGTTGGACAGAAAGGTATCTGGATACTCTTCTGCCGTCCTCACTAAACCAAAAAATTCTTGTATTTCACAACTAAATTTGTTACCCATTATATAGCACATAAGGAAGCTCAAAGAGATCAACACATGCATATTCATAGACTACAGCTGTTTCCTCTGTTTTGAAATTGAATTAGGAAAACAGTTGTTTTGAATAACAACACTACAATTACGCTAAGAGCTTTATTGACTTTTATTGATTATTAGATACCCCATGGTTTATGTAATAATGTTGTAAAAGAGGCCTGCTTTAAAACATGCTAGCTTTCTTCAAACAAACCTCAATCCCAACACTATATTTATTTTGTGATTTGAGCTTTATAAGGCTACTCCATATTCACAGATGCTTGCAACACAATAAAAATGGAGGAAAATTTTTTTATAAGCCTCAGAGAATAAAAGGTATTAATCACAGAAAGAGGATCTGTAACGTCATCAGGCAACTGAAAATTTGGTTTTAAACTGTTAAAGAGAAATTAGGATGTTACATTTATATCCGTGAGTATTGGCTGAATGAACACCAACCTGGCTCGCTGCTTGTCTCATTCAGACAACTAGTAAGATCTGGTAACTGCACTACTTGCCAGCATTTTGGTGAAACCCTATGGCTTGATGAGCACGTTGGAGCCTGCATGCTCTTATGCACAGCTAATAGAAAAATGAGACAAATAGCTGGAATGAAACACTTCAATAAACAGAGCAGTCTGCCTGGAGCTGATGGATGGAAGAATGATCTTTGAACTAAAGCTGCATCTGACATGAGTTAAGGGCATGATAATTAATTCATATTTTTGGCTGATGAAAATTTTTTTAAAACTTTCCTCTAGGTTTCTGAAAATAATGAGGAGGATTATTATTACCAGCTGTACTTAAAGGACAAAGGACAAATGTAGCTCTACAGAATATCCCAGTGCTGACTGTTTTTGGCAGAAACATCAATAAATTGCATGGCAATTCCAACATGTTCTGCTTTGCAGGCAGTGACTCAACACGCATATTGAGTACGACTGTTCACTGTGTGTTATCACTTTCATGATGTTTGGCCCCAAGAGTTCAAAACCATAAGCTGTATTTCAGAAATCATATAAGCAAACAAGAAGGACTTTAGTTTCTTCCTTTCACTCCCTCAGTTGCACCAACGTGTGATAGTCTGATCAATTTTTGCAAATTAACATGCCTTGGATAATGCTGAAAACTGCAAGACGTGTAGACATCTCACCTCCTCAATTTCACATTTTTAGGGATTATTTTCAAGAACACAATTGAGAAATACTGATCCTGTTTTGACTGTTGTTGAAAGGAAAGAAAATAGATTCAAAAAGTGTAAGAAAATAAAATGTTAGTCTTTAATAGATGCAACATGAGCAGACCTGAAGTCAGTAAAATATATAAACTCAAATGGACTCATCCACCTAACCTGGAAGTTGGATTGATGTCTTCCCTCAGAAGGGACTACAACAGGAAAGGGGCTGTTAGGGGCTATAGGCTGCATTAATGGGCTGAGGTGAAGTGCCAGGTCCTGCACTTGGGTCACAAATAACCCCTGCAGCACTGCAGGCTGGGGGAAGAGTGTCTGGGAGTGGCCCTGAGGAAAAGAACCTGGGGGTGCTGATCAACAGTGGCTGAATATGAGCCACTTTGTGCCCAGGTGGCCAAGAAGGCCAATGGTATCCTGGCCTGTGTCAGCAATAGTGTGACCATCAGGACCAGGGCAGTGATCGTCCCCCTGTAACCAAAGGGGGCAGCGGTGAGGCCGCACCTCAGATCCTGGTTTCAGTTTTGGGCCCCTCACAACAACACAGACATTGAGATGCTGGAGTGTGTCCAGAGAAGGGCAGCAGACCTGGGGAAGGGTCTGGAGCACAAGTCCTGTGAGGAACAGCTGAGGGAGCTGGGGGTGTTTAGTCTGGAAAAAAGGAGGCTCAGGAGAGACCTTCCCGCTCTCTACAACTCCCTGACAGGAGGCTGTAGCCAGATGGGGGTTGGTCTCTTTTCCCAGGTAACAAGTGACAGGACAAGAGGAAATGGCCTCAAGCTGTGCCAGGGGAAGTTCAGGTTGTTCATCAGAGAGAATTTCTTCACTGAAAGAGTGGTCAAGCACTGGAAGGGGCTGTCAGGACTAGTGGTGAAGTCACCATCCCTGCAAACACTCAAGAAACGACTGGACCTGGCGCTTAAGGTCACTAGACAAGGTGACTACCGATCAAAGGCTGGACTCGATACTGGAGGTCTTTTCCAAACTTAACGATTCTATGAAACAATGAAACAAACTTTTCAGATTTCCCCTTGCCCGTCTAGAAAACTGGGCATCAAAGGCACCAGATTTGGAAGCCAGCAGTATTATTTCCAGGAGAACAGCCTAAGAGGTTGTGCTGCCTTGGGTTTCACATGATTCTCACTGGGGTTTGGCACCACGTTCTGTGTAGGTGGATTTGAGCTCTGGTCTTAGCGCAGCCCCCAAGCACCACTCATCCTCCCCTTCTCCTTCTTTCAGTCCACGGATGAGGGGAGCCTCAGCACAGCCACGGCTGGTCCCATAGCCCCGATCCGATGGATAGCAGGACAAATTCCCACCCAAGTCTCGGATCCTCCCTCACGGCCGCCCCTGTCCCGGCGGGCGCTCGGACACGTGACCCGGGACTCTGCCCCCAGGAGCCGACGTGTCCGCGCCGCAAGGGCTGCTAGGACTTGTAGTCCGCTGCGGAGGCCTCCACCCGCCTGCCCCGCACCTGGCGCTGCCAAGCCGGCTCCATGCCTAAGGCTGTTCCCCCGAGCCGTGCCGAGGCGCTCCTTCGTCCCCCGTGAGCCCTCAGTGTTCCTCCGTGCGGGACAAATGGGCGGAGAGGGGCAAAGCACGGCTTTCAACAGAACTACAACTCCCGGCGTGCACTGCGCCCCGCGCACCACAACAAGGGGTGTGGGGAAGATGGCGGCTGCAGAGCTGAGCGGGAGCGGTGGTTGAGGTGAGTCTCGGCCAGCCCGGCAGCGCTCCCGTCACCCGCGCTCACCCTCACAGCCGCCTCCTCTTCCAGACCTTCCGCTCCCTTCCCTCTCTCCACGCTCGGGACCGAGGAGGACGCGCCAGAGGGGCGGGCGCTGAGGGGGTGGCGGTAGGCTCAGGTCGCCCGGCTGCGGCGGGAGGAGAATCCTCAGGGCATCGCCGCAGCCCAGACCCGCTGGGACGGCGGCTCGGGGATGTCCCTGTGGTCCTGGCGGGAATGTTGGCTCTCCGCCCCCGGAACGGGCGGCTGCTCCCCGCAGGAGCTGTGCCAGGGGGATCCCCCCTCCTTCCCCGGGGAGGGCTGTGGCTTTGGGATTTCCCTCAGCAGGTTTTCCTCAAATGGACGTTAACACAGCGAGATATTAACCGAACGCAATGCAGATTTACAGACAGACGGCACTGTGAGCTTTCGTAGCTTCGTCTTCTGCTTTAAAGTTAATTGTGAGTCACGGAGCCGTGCTTTGAATAATTGGGGTGTAGATTCACAAATCCTGTTATTAAGAACTAATTATAGTACAGTCTCTGAATACATCTAGGAAGGGATCCCGTCGTACTTTTAGCTGATACACAGGGAAGAAAGGATCCCGGGTTGCATAGATCTCTGCTCTGTTGTAGAACTTGTGGGAAAGCCACTAACTTAGAACCAGAGTTTAAGTACCTTTATCAAAACCAAGTTTGCTTGCCCAGATTTTATGCTTTGTAAAGCTACATCAAATGTTTGCTGTGCAAATTGAGTAGGTAAGCTAAAACCAGAGTTAACAGCCAAGACTTTGGGATTTTATAGACAATTACTTCCTGAATTATTTGTAATTCATTCTAGATAATTTGAAGTGTTTTCTCAAATAACATCAGGGCATCTTGTTGGAAGACTCTGCCTGGATGCTCTTAAACATATAGTGAAATTTCTCTGAGAAATTGGCACTTTGGAGTTGAAACCTTGACTGTAGTGCCCTGCTATGCCTAAGGGCTTATCCATTAAGCCTTCTAATATTTGTTTAAAAAAACGCTGCTATAATGGTTTAATTTCTGATTCAGGAAAAACTTTACGAAGATGGGAAATAGAGTACAGTTTGTAACTGTTTTAAAACTACATATTTTTATATTTAATCCTGTTATGAAAATGTTTGTGATTAATGATGGCCAGTACCTTCTCTCTACTTCTGATCCAAACTTGTTCAGGAGAAAAAAATGAACAAATTTCATATTATATGCAAGTTGAGGGAGGCATTAGAATACTAATCAGACTTGGCAGTCAAACTTCAAGTATAATAAAAGGGGATTACACTTCTAATTATGAAATCTGAATTATAAAGAGTATGAAACAGCTTTGGTAGGTATCAGTGACTTTTAACTGCCCAGCCTGACACTATAAGGAGTAATTCTTGTAAGGTTACTGTACAATTTTTAAACAACTTTGAAGATACTTAATTTTTTTAAGTAGAAACAAATCCTGTTTTCTGTAGTTGTGTTCTGTCTTAGGGAGGAGAACTGGGTAGTCTCATTAACTGGGCTCATGCATGGCATTGCTTCTTCACCTGAGAAAGCTAATTCAAAATAAAGTCAGGTACTTTCACAGAATTATTATCTTGCATTTTTGGGTTCTGGTAGGTGGAGTTGGAGCCTGACTTGTCTGTATTTAGGAATGAGTATGTGACTTATTAGTCTTGCACTGCACTAGCCATTTTCCTACCTTCCAAGCTAAAGGCATTGATTAATTTTTCAAATAGGAAATATGAGTGGGGAACCAAGTGATGTAAAAACTTAATGTGCAGTGGATTTTTAATTTTTCAGTTCATGCCTGACTAGCTTGGGTTGCATGACTATCAGAGGTGCTCAAACCTCTGCTTTTCGTTGGCTTAAGTTGGAGGAATGAATCAGTGCCCAGCTGACAATTTCATTTTGAAGACTTAAAATCAAGTTAAACATTTACGGTGTTACATAATAGAATAACATATTAGAGGGCTTATTAGAAGAAAGTACAAAAACTCAGATATGCTGACTTCTATTCCTTTGCCCATAGCACAAGGTTATGTACGTTTTTCCATTTTAAGTCTTTTAAAGAGATCCACTCTTTTAGGCAGGAAAAAGATCTTTGCTTTTCTGTTTGGCTTTCAGTGCCACTTATGGAATCTTGTGATAATAATAAGTAATTTGTGCTTATAAACTATCCTTTAATTTCAGATCCCAGGTTAGTTAATGAAAAAAAAATCAGCAAGTCTAACAAACTGTATTTTCATTCTTGTTCTGATAGAACAACACATTGACATTGGGTTTCCTATGGTGGCCAAATTGTGTAGAATCTTCTCTAAACTAAAAGGTTTTGTTCAGAATAGTGACTCTTGCATGACGTGCAGGTGTTGATCGGCCTTTTAAGGTACATTCACTATCATTGCACTTTGATTATAATTGTAATTAGAATTATTGTTATATCCCTGGGAAAACAAAATAAGTTTTAATCCTCCACAAAAAAACAGACATGATTTTATTTACCATTTTAATATCCAAGAGTCAGTTCTTTTGGTGCTAGAAACACTGTATACATGTATAACATCCTTAAGTTGCTTCTGCTAATCTCTCAAATGTCACAAAATGACATGGAATATGTTAAAACAGTGTTAGACGCTGTTTAGTAATCTAAATGGTATCTCATGATTTTCCATCTCTCTCTTTTAATTGGAGCCAAGTTCTGCTTCAGATTCTGTGGAGTTTTTTTTTTCTCACACTATGTAAAATTTTAATTCAGTGACAAACCACTGAGCAGACTCATGGTGGGAAGCTTCTTGGTTTGGTTTAGTTTAGTTCTGTTCTGCTGGAACAGAAAACAGTATCTGTGGATTAAACTTTGCCCTAGGCGAAATGAGGCAGTGATTGAAGGCTTTATGGAGAGGGAATTGTGTGGTCTGTTCTGCATGTAGAAGCCAGGCCACCTCTATATTGAATTTTTGGTTCTGTTACAGATCTTAAAATTATTAAAAATCCAGTTATTTGGTTCTGTTTTTAAATAATTGTCTTCTGCTTGTTTTAGTTGCTTATACAACTTTTCTGGTAATTTCTGCATTAATATCTTCCAAAGTGAGTTGACTTTGCTGGCAGCAGCAGTCATTTCCTGATTGCTGGTGATGGTCAGTAAAACACTCAGAGGCTCTGGCACTTGACTCCCTGAAACTGTCACGAGGTTCTTTGCGTTTTTATGTTCTAATATGCCAGTAAATCTGACTACTGTAATCTCTCAACTAAATTAACTACACTCTGAATTAGAGATTTTGCTTTTCCATGTATCTGTTGACCATCACAATCCACAGCATGTTTTCTTTTATAAAATTACGGTGTTTCTCACTCTGTCCTTGGAGAGGGACGCACACAGCTTTCTAATAGGAAGGGTTATTTTAAATAAATTACTTTGAACTGCTATTTTTAGTCACAGTTGCTGTCAGCAAATTGCAGCCTTTGATTGAAATACATGTACAATGAGAATAAAGTTTATTTTTAGTAACTATGAGCATTGCTTTAATGTGTGCTCATTAAAACATATGACCAAATAAAATGTTTATTCTCACATTAGCATGTTAGTAGTCTCTGGAATTATGGTTTTTTGGTGTGCATATACATGCAATTCTTAGATGAATATCTTTAATTTTTTATTGTATTTTTTTAAAACAGCAAAACTCAGTGTCTTTAACTGAGATTTCGTTTTCATTTGTGGAAAGGTACATTTGCAGGGAGTTTGCATTGGGCAGTTAATGAAACCTAAAATGCGCTGCTTTAATATAGAAAAATCTTCAAATGATTTGTACTTTAATGCTAGTTAATTAAACAGTAGATTAGGCTACTTCTATCCTCAAAGTAGCTTGTTGTAACTTCAATTGAGTTAATTGTATGAATATATTTAATTGCATCAAAAATCCTTTGGTCAGCTGATGTTTATAGTACTTTGCACTCTGATCTACAAAATCTGCCTTTTTTGATACTGAGAGAAAAATGCCCTAGAAAGTGTTACACACCTTGTTTTTTCATAGCGTTGAACAGAAACCTCTCACAGGCATTTTAGTGGGGAAGTGCTGTAATTTCCATCTGAAGGGGAAGTATCCTGTGAGGCTGTACCCAGTTTAGCTTCCTGAAACAGTGGTAGTTGGAAAGGTCATCCCAACATACACAGAGAAAAATGTTTATTCCGGCATCAAAGGCGAGAATGGAATGACTACATTTCAAGTGCTGGCAAAACCTACAGATAGTCTGGACAGATAAAATGATATCTGGGTTTCTGTGGTAACAGCCTCTTTGGTGTTGGAGCTGAAGAATGTGACTTTGGCTCATTCTGCAGAAGTTACTGTGCTTATTTGGATGTAAATTGTCTAAAGCTGTTGTCTTGACTTTTTGTTTGTTTGTTTGTTTTCTTTATAGTTTATTATATTTTTGCAAAATTGAAGACAGATTCCTGATTAATAATGCCTGCCAGTAAGTATTCTTACCTTAAGTACATTAAGACAATATTTAGGGGTGTTTACTATTAGATATTTTCTTCGGGGTTTAAAAATTCTAGCAAAATTAAAATGGAAAAAAGAAACATTATACTTGCCATCATTTTTAGGAACTTTAAGATCTCAGTGTTATCTGGTCTCTATAAATCTCCATATATTTTTCAAAGAACCCAGTATAGGCTCTGCATTTTCCTTTTCGATCAGAAATTCACAGTTTAACACTGATGAATTTTGTGATTTAAAGTATATTCTGAAATAGTTGAATTCAAAAAATAAAAAGGTATTCTGATATAGCTATAATCCTAACTTTGGAAAATGGTAACTAGTGTTTATAGGGCATAGAATCAGTATTTGGGATAAAAAGTGATAAGGCTTAAAATTTTAACATTCAAAGTTAAGTGAGATTTTTGAGGCAGATGTCTCTAAGAATCAAGTTACCTTCAAGAGTAGCAAATTTCACTAACACAAATGCTCGAGTTATGAAATGTGTTATAATAATATTAATTTAACAATTTTTTAAGATTATCTTTTCTGTTTTCCATTTAGAAAAAATTCTGCATGATCTCTAGTAAGATTACCAACATCAGACTTTGGATAAAGCAGTATTCATAAAGTTACAGTACCAGTCATATTGCATGCACTTTAATTATATAGGTTTGTAATGGATTTCATAGATGTTTAATTTCATGAGGAAATGTTTGAGCACTTTTTTTTTTGCAATGATTTGTAGTAAGCTATGACTACTGGGTACTAGAACTGCCTTACAGTAATTCTGTGTTGTGTTGTTTGAACCACTGTCATGTAAAATATCTTACTGTATTTAGGTGTCTTCTGCTTTTGCGGTAAAAACTGAATAGGTTGAAATTATTTCTCTGCATAGACATGGGTTTGTAACAGACTAGTGGCACATATGTGTGTTTTATGTCATATATGTACATGAGAAGCTGCTGGCTTGGATTGTGTCAGCTGGGATTCAGGTTTGTAACACAGGGACCTGCTGGTGAGGCTTCAGCTGCAGGTCAGTGCTGCTGAGGCGCCCCTCTCATGGGACTCACTGCTGCTGTGAAGGGGTGTGTGGGTTTTTTAAGCAATTAAACTGAAAAGTGATATTTTTTTCTTCTAAACTAGTTATGCTTATGTTCAGGGTCGTCAGTACTAACGTGTGTAGAGCCTGCATTTCTGCAGCAGATGGGACTTAGACGAGACCAAACCAACCGATCACAGTGTTTATCTGCAGCGAGACATCCAGAGCTCTGCAGCCACTTATTTATCTTTAATGGGTTTGAGCGCACAGGTGAAGGAAAGGGAACCTCCCAGGTGTGTGTGCGTGTGTATTGCAATTCTTAAGAAATTTCATAGCAGTACTTTCTTAATATTTCACTTCCAAAAGTGATGGCGATGAAGTGTGATTGGATTTTAAGGCAAAGAAGCATCTTTTTGTGGCTGGTTAACTTATTATCAGTAGAGGTAGAGAGAGCCTTCAGAATGTCAGCTTTGTTGCATGTGAGAAGAAAAGCTTCTTCCTGCTAATTTAGGCTTCTCTAGAGGTTCCATAGGCTTCTTTTCAGAGCATTTTGGTGGGCTGGGCTGCTGCTATTTAGTGTTACTTTGAAATCTTAAAGTATTTGTCCTTGAAATGCAAAAAAAGTTGTTTCAGAAGGCTGGATTGTTTTAAATTTTATTATTTTTTTTCACGTGGAGTTCTCTCATCCCACGCATGAAGAAACTCAGACATCTTTTGGAATAAAATGTGGAAAAGGCTGTTACTGTGAGATATATTCCTTAAATGTTTCTGTCATGCTAGAATGAGTTCTTTATAAATTAAGTAGAAGAATAATATCTGGTTAACAGGAAAGTTTGATGGAGTTCTTGGGTCCTACTGACCAACTCCCTCATCCAGTGTTGCCCTTCTTGCTTTCCTGAGTCTGTATATCAGTTTCTGCTGGTAATTTTACCCCTTTATTTCCAGTACAGTAGTTAAGGAATGTGTAGATCTAAAAGTGCAGTTTGGAAATACCAGGAGAGGCCAAGATACTGGTATTACGTAAAGACTGAATAAGAAGACTTAATTAGTCTTTCTGGAGACTTTAGCTGTTCCTAGTGACATTTTGGAAGTCAGTCTTGAAGTTACTGTGCATGAAACATTCACAGGACCATATGCTTTTTATCTCGTTCAGTATTAACTGTGGAAAAAAATAGGCATGTGGTCAGAACTGGGATGGGGTGTTGAGAGGAGGAGAGATGAATGTGGGTCGTTAGCCCACACTGAGAAGTGCCCTTCTCACTGAACTCAGTCATGGGTGCTTCTCTTTGCATTGGTTCTTTCTCACATATTCGAGTTATCAGATTTTCTATTGATGTTTTTGCTCAGTGATCACATTTAGGAATGCAGGAATTTTGTTCTGCATTGAGTCCTTAATGAAATAATATTAAGGTTTCAGTCTCAGTGCAGTAATAGTCCAAAATAGTGAAAAATCTGAAGATGTAAAAGTGCTTAGCTTTGACTAGCCATAGCATGGCATTTGTGTCGACGTTTAGTCTGTAGAGGAGGTGTGAAGCTCTGTCATTGCTGCAGCACTTGTATCAGCCTTGCCAATATAGAGCCTTTTCTCTATATTCTTTGTGTATGAAACTTTATGAGTTTCTCCTGTGCAAGTAACATGGGCATTGATGTGAGATATGCTTACAAACATGGTGTCTTCAGCTGAAGTGCAAATTTTGAAATGTTGAGAAAGCAAATATGTTTTCTCATTGCTATTATAATACAGTACAAGGAGAGCGATTTGAGCCACAGCTATTTTATTAACCATTTAAGCTGTACTTTATCACAGAGAAACTGTGGATTAAAAGATTAATTTGTCCTTTTATTTAAAAACAAAACCAAAGAACTTATAACCAGTTAACCTTTGCAATACAGGCAGTATGTGTTTTTCATTTGCTTCAAGTGTGCTCTCAATTTCCCTGTTAAATAACTTGTGCAAATAATTTCATTTAACCTACTTCTCTTATGGATCATCAGTGGTTTTGGTAGGGTTTTTTGGCTGTATTTGGATTGAAATGTTACAAATGCTTCTGTTAGTGAAAAAAAGCAATAACTAAGTCATATATCAAAACAGTTGTTTAAGAGACTCTACTTTTTGAACAGTATGTTCTGGATATTCACACTTATTAATCAGATGCTTGAAACACAGCATGGTAGATAATGAGGTTTTTTTTCAGAAAGAGCTAACCTACTTACTGGCTGTATTCCCTGACTTGAATTAAACATTTAACTTAAAGGCAGATTTTGTGCTAAAATGAAATTGCATGAACTAGAAGAATTATGTGTGATACAGGTGAGAGCACCTGCCGACATCAGAATACATCAGAATGTATTTTACTTGTGGTAGCTCTGTGTGTGATTTCTTTTTTCCTTCTTTTATGGCTCATACCATTAACATACTTAATTATATCTTTGCTTTTCAGGGTTTTTTTAATAATAATTGTTATGCTGACCTGTTCTTAGCTGCTGACTATCAAGTCCTTATGACTGCCTGTAACATGTAAATTAAGAGAGCAAATAAATAAAAATTAGGATTTTGCCAAATGTTATTTTCCCACATTCTTCCCTTGAGTTTCTGCTGTGAAATTTAGTATTATGAACACCTCCTACGCTATTCTGTCAAATAATTGCCAGTTGGAAAGAGACCACTCTGATTTGAGAGGTGCATGTACCAGTTATGAGGAAAATATTCCATGATTTGGCCTGGCTTTGGTTACAATGAAGCGGCGGTTTTGGTAGCTTCAGAATGCACCTCCAAGGATACTTAGTGCAGATTGCTTCTTGTCAGACTGCATAACCTTGTGTTTCCTTGGCCTTCCAAACACCGTGTGGCTTTTTGCCAGTTGTCTGTGCAGAGGCAGCTACTCTGGCAGAAGGTGGAACGTGCTGGTGGCTTCCCTGGTTGGTGCCAGGTGAAAGTAAATAGAAGACATAACAATTGAACAGTGCTTGGTTTTTTATTGTATTCAGGGATGTTACTGCTTTCAGTTACTTCATAGTCTTTAAATAAACAAACGACCCACCCCTCCCCCCAAATCAAAAATACCTACTAGACTTTTAAAAGTATAATTTGCTATGTGAATAGAGCTTCCTTGCCAAGTGTAGGAGGGAAAACAGCACTTGAAATGGAATTTGAAATGAGTGAATTCTTAACTGGAATTTAATGTTCTTAACACATTTTAAGGTACAGGTAATTTCCTCGTTTTGGGTTTCTCCCCTCACAGCAATTTTGGGAAATTAATTTTATTTGTGGTTTGCTATTCTAGTTTTTATTTTATATATAATAAATATTAATGAGATTGTTAATCATAGAATCATAGAATCGATTGGGTTGGAAAAGACCTCCGAGATCATCGAGTCCAACCCTTGGTCCAAATCCAGTCCATTTACTAGATCATGGCACTCAGTGCCACGTCCAATCTGCGTTTAAAAATCTCCAGGGATGGTGAATGCACCACCTCCCTGGGCAGCCCATTCCAATGCCTGATTACTCTCTCTGTAAAGAATTTTCTCCTGATATCCAACTTAAATTTCCCCTGGCGGAGCTTAAGCCCGTGCCCCCTTGTCCTATTGCTGAGTGCCTGAGAGAAGAGACCAACCCCCACCTGGCTAGAACTTCCCTTCAGGTAGTTATAGACGGTGATGAGGTCACCTCTGAGCCTCCTCTTCTCCAGGCTAAACAACCCCAACTCCCTCAACCTTTATGTGCTTTTAAACTATACATGGACAATTCACCAAATGTTAAAATGTAGCTTAATAGTTTTCTCAGGTTTTATTAAAATATGGCTGTTGTTGTTATTTACAGAAATCGCTTTGCAACTGTCAGTCGATTAACCTTCATGTGCAGCCTTGTTTGCTATTGATTTCTCAGTCATGGGACGAAAGGGTAAGAGGGCTCATGCTGACTATGCATGCAAGTGTCCTATTTTTTTGTGCATGACAACAAAGAAAAATTGATTTTGGTGAGTGGGGGTTAAGATTTCCATTATGTGATTAAATGCATGTCTCTGGAAAAGCCAGGATGAACTGCTTTTAAAAGTATTTTGGCCTTCCTTTCCTTGCTATATGGACTTTCCTTCCCACCATCAGCCACTATGAACTCCAGTGGCTCTCTAGAGAATCAGGTTCCTACAGATGGAAAGGTAGCTGTGTTTAGCTCTCTTGGCTTTCTGAGAGTGCTTTTTCATTTCTAGGAAGTTACATCTTTCCAGATTAATTGGTGCAGGAATTAGACAGGAATGAATAGAAAGGTGAGGTAGGTAGATGAACAAGACTCTTCTACGTCTGCCAAGAGTTCAAGAAGCGTTTGGACGATGCTCTCAGGCACATGGTGTGATTCTTGGGGCTGTTCTGTACAGGGCCAGGAGTTGGACTCGATGATCCTTGTTGGGTCCCTTCCTACACAGAGTACTCTATGATTCTTTTTCTAACAACTTGTAGACACCAAGACTTCAAAAAATAGTTGTTGCCTTTATAACTCAGTCTTCCTTTAGATGTCCAACTTGAGATCTGTCAAAGGTCTCAGTCCTTTCATTTTTCAAGAGCACATTTGTGATTCTGAATTGTACTGGGACCTGTGCAGTGTTTTGCTGATAATGGTCTGTGCTTTGGCTTGAAATGGGCACCCTGAGTCTTCAATTGTGGTTTGAGAATGCTTACTCGTTCCTTAGTAAGAGAATGAGTAAGGAATTTCAACCTAACACTTAGCTGTATAATTATATTAAATCAGTACTCTTTCCTGATTGTTTTGTAGAGCTGTTAATAGGTAAGGAAATATGTGTAGATAAAGCTTCACAGGTATTTTGTTAGAATTACACAAATGCACCAACAAATACAGAATAATTTATGCTATTAGAACCAATTTTCCTGTGTTCAGTAAACTGCACTATAACTGTCTAATGATTAGAAAAGGACTTTAGGATGCTGATACACTACTTATGAACTTCATATGTAATAAAATATGAATAGTTATTAAATTATAATCGATCTATGCCTGACATGATTGAGTTAGTAGAGTCCTCTTGTCTTGTAATAAATGCAGTGTAAGCTGGATTCAAGACCTTTTCTATTGTGCATGTGGTGTTTTTTTAAATGAGTTTGTGATTTGTTATTGACATTAGTTTAGTTGTGAGCTTGAAGTTCTTCATAACTGACAAAACATAATTTTTACAAATTGAATCTGGTGTTGGAATTGCAGCATGGTGAGAAGTGCTGGTTGTGGGCAGGAACTGCTGGATTGCTGTAGAAACCGATGAGCCTGTGTGCCCACAAATGTCCCATCTGGTTTCTACAGAAAGCTGGGACACTCAGTATTTACTGATTAACAAAATGGGTTTATAAAAGCTACTTCTTTGTGTATAAATACAAAGCTTTCTCCTAGACTGAACAGTTCAGTTTGATGGGAAACAGAAGTTGTGGTAGTAAAGGAATGTGGCCTTTAAGTACTGAAGGTGCATAGAAGAGCAATCCACTGCCTCTGTGTTCCTTTTGTACTCTCTGACTCATTAGATGTTACAGGAGGGGGGAGGATGCTTTTTAGTTAGCTGGGATATGTGGTTCTAGATAGGAATATGTTTTACCCTTAAATCTCACTGTTTGGGAGACAAAACAGTTCAGAACCTTTTAACAGCTGCTTTTCAGTTCTTGTAGGAAACCTGAATTTGAGCTGAAGGACTTTTTAGAACTAATGTGAAAGGTAACAACCATGAGGATATTTTATAACTAGAAGGAGGCTGTTTTTAGTGAAACTTGTCTCTTTCAAGTCTGTGTTTAAAACTGTTTGTTATTGAGAAGTTGTTGCATAAAATTCTGTTTGTTGGTTTGTTCAAAAGCTTCTCTTCTGTGGGGGCAGGATGAACTAGGTAAAGCTGTCTGCAAAGAAAAGAAAGTGTGAAAATGGAGTGTATTGGCAGCTCCAAGGACCTGTTTTTGTAATATGTAACAAGATTTTTTCAAATTTTTGATTCCACATTCTTTTAATGTTCTTTTAATGGAAACAATGTGTATGTTTCCGTGTCCAAATTGCCATATCCTATTTTGTAAATGTTTTCTGGGAAAATCAAAGGAATAGGTAGGAATAGACACAGAGTATTTTATTGAAGATTGGTGATATTTAAACAAGAATTTGAGTTCTTAAGTATCCTCTGTGACTCTTATTTTTCAAAGTAACATTACAACATTTTTGTTTAGCATTTTATTTTTCATTAATGTCAATATAGTTTAAACACTTTTGTGGCTGAATAGGAGCAGATGTTTTGTCATGTTTGGAGCCCTGTGTATGTGCCTTGGGAGAATTGCTGCACTCTGTTTTCTCAGAGGAGATACCACAGTATGGTTCTGGATGCACAAAAGTGCTTTCATTTATTCTTTCTTATGTTGCTTTCTATGTATGTGTATGTTTGGGGGAAATAAAATTTATGTAACGTGGTATTGAACTACTTGTGAACAGAACATTTTCTTTTTAATTGAGAAATGTTTTTCAAAATCTGTGCATATGTACGGAAACTTGTAGCTTAATGTGCTCACATGAAGTTAAAACTTGTTTTTGAAGCTCTGGCTGTGCTTATGTTGGCATTTGGGATATCTTAAAAGGAAAAAGGATCTATAGAACCACGCGCTCTTACATGTCCTGTGTACAGCTCAGCAGTGTATGCCATACTAATTAAAATCCCTGAGTTAAACTTACCTACTGCATTAGCTTTGAGGCTCCAGAAAGAAAGCCTGTGAGCCTTTGCTTTCTCCTCATCATCAGGACTTTTAATCATGACATACATGCCCTTTTCATTCACAAAAAGCTTCTTGTGCCTTATTTTACTTCAAGTGACAATGTGGTACCTACTCCCTGATCGCTTTCAGCCCTGTGTGTTTGTGCAACGTGTGCTGAAAGGCACCATTGGGCAGGAGTGGAGAATTTAATCCTCCCTGCCTAGATACTGCAGTCATAGGATACCTGTGATGGAGAAGTCACACCACTGTTCTGACCGTCCTTTTTTTCTCAGGGAAAAGGTGGATAGCAGCATAAGATTCTGGGAGTTCTTACCACTGCAACTGTATTCCTGCCCTGTGGATTGGATCAAGAAAACAAACTGCATTGTCTTAAGGAAATGGAAAAAGTAACAGTAGTCAGGAAAATTCTTCTTGCTTCTTTGTATTCAGATTTTTCAGTGCACAAAGTTGCAGGTGTTCATCACCCTGAGAAGACTTGAAAGCCTGGGCACTTGCTGACTAGTTACTGGTTTGAAGTGGGCTTGTCTTCTGTAGGGTACATTTACAATGGGAGCTCGTGTAACTCGTGGTACTGCCGTGAGATGTTGCCTTTGATTTAGCATCTGCTTAATAGACTGTCAACGTATCGTGTCCTAATGCTCCCCCAGAGCTGTATCCAGACGTGTGCTCTTGTCCCAGCTCCCTTTTGATGCCACTCTCATTCTTAGAATTCATATATGTACAACAGGTGTTCCTTTAAAGGCAACAGCCTAATCCACGTGAATTCCTGTAGCAAAAGAAGTGAGCAGCAAGTGTTAAAACAGCAAAATAATTTTCTTCCTTGTCAGGAAAGACGACCGTGTCCAGTAACCTGAGGAAATGCAATGGAATGGGAAATGTGAAAAATCTAGTTTAGAAATTTTAAAACTAGAACTGGGCATGGATGGAGTGGCACAGAGAAAGTCCTCGTCTGTTGTGCTGCCTGGAGCTGGGACTGGGAAGAAAAGATATGACCAGCTTGAGCATCTGGAAGGGATTCTGTAGCCTGGGCTTTATGTAGCAGTCGCCAAAGTTTACTGAGGCATTTAGCCAAGTATATATGTTTTTACCTGTAGTTGACCAACCTGCTGATCAGAAGTAGAGTTTGAAGGCTCCAGAAGCAGAGCGTGACCCTATTGGAAAAATTTTGCCGTTGACATCCCTCAAGAATTCCTCATTACCCACCTCTGGCCACCCCAGAGATAGGCTAAGTGTTCCTCCTTGGACTGTTAACCTTTCAACCATGCCTTCCATAGTGTCTTTTCTCCCCTTCAGACACAGTGTCCATCTCAATCTTGAGGTGCACCAGCACCTTCTGTAGAATGATCTTCAGTGTTAGGTGTTACTCCTTAGTTGCAACAAAGTGGGAACAAAGTGGTATGAGAGGTGTGGGTTTTGCAGTCCCTCTCCTCAGTGGAACTCAGGGAGGAGTGTAAAGCCAAGTTATTTGGCCTTTGTGTTCCTCCAAAGGTTACAGCACACTCTTCTGCCCTCTGCAGCTGTTTTCTGCAACTGGGAAGTGTTCAAGGATGGAGCATTCTGAAAATGGCTCATCTGGGTTAGAGAATAGGTTAGGGTCAAGGTGAAGCCAGGCTTTCAACAGGATAGTCTGGTACTGGGTGGTTACTTCTATGCCAGGATCATCACTGTGCTGAGGAGACATCATTCACCTGTACCCATGGATCTTGGAGCATGCCAGACATTTGGACAGGCAGAAGTAGATCAAAATATTTGTGTTAAGTAGCAGAAGAAAGTGGTTGCTGTGATAATGTCAATCCTTCTTTACTTTTTTATTCTGAATAAAATAGTAGGGAAGGAATGTCCTCCTGGCTCAGTGTGTTACTGGATGTGTACAGTGGGTGTTTTGTTAGTGTTACGAGTCTGCTCCATGCTCTGCTACTTGCCTGGATGGAGGAATAATGCCAGTTCATGTGGTTCAGAGAATACACAAAGCACTATGAGCCTCCATTTCCCTCCCCTTCTCCTTTAGTCCAGTAGTTTGCTTATGTCCCCATTTTTCAGATGAAATACGTTGTTATGAAATCAGTATTTGCTTAGAAATAGGAATGTGATGACACAAAAGCTCTGGGGTGTTTTTTTCCTGTGCTGGGTTTATCACCTAGAGCTCATTACCTGATTGTG